ACCTTTGGGATTTCTGGTCATTTTGAGTATTTGCACTACCTTTAAAAAGCCAACTCTAAAGCACCCTCATAAATGCTTTAGTGGACAATTTATTATTGTTCTATACACAGTGTGACATGTTCTCACGGTAGCTGCATCATCCTTGGTTTGTTATATTTTATGAAATGTTCTCATAATTCCAGTAAACAAAATAAGACCTACAGGGAGAGGGGGGTTGTGGGAGAAAGCATGGCCCTAAGGAAGGATCCAGCTCTTGGTTACTTAAGGGGTTGTTCTCAGAATCTGCTAAATGAGTGAGGCACCGAGAACTGGCAGAAAGAATAACTTACATCTAACTGGGGACACAGGTCGAATCAGTTATTCCTGTGTTGAGAGACAAGGCTGCATGGATCTCTCGAAGTCAAGTTGTTTGAATGGGCCTCCATCTCTAAGAGGAGTACCTACTTTGAACAGTTACCACTTACCATCCCTGGGTACTTCAAAAAAAGGAAACCATTTTTTATTTCAAATGTTCAGTCTGATTCCAGTCATGAAAACATCAGAAAAAGCATTGAGTGTTTTGACAAACTGGCACTTTGCTTATCTGTCTTTGTAAGATGCTGAAGACCAGGCCAAGATGACTCCTTTCTCCGAGTCCCATACTCCATGAAGGAGACTGTACCATCTGGGCACCTCTGTTCAGAGAAGAGCAGGTTCTTCTATTCACGCACTAGGTTTAATTTTCCCTTTTTCTTTTAGAACGTATTGCAATCTAATATACTGTGTGTACGTGTACACACACACACGGAATTGCTGATGCTGTGAGCCTGCCTCAGTAAACTGTAAACTCCAGGAGGGCAGGAATCATCCATTCTGTTCACTGCCATTTTCCCACTGAAACCCGGGCCCTCATTCATTAAATATCAGTTGAAGTGAAGTGAGTGAATGCACAAATGGTAGGCTATAGTGAGCGATGGCATTGACTTCTCTGAAAATCTGAGAAACTCAGTTGCTGTCTGTCGTAGAACATAGACTGCCACTTTTAGCCTCTGGGGCATTTATATGAGGAAACTCATTATAGCCTTTCCTTTCCTTTGGTGTCATAATAAAAATGTAGCCGAGCTACCAGTTGTGGGGGCGTTTGTGTCAGTGTTGCAGTTAGGAGGTGAGTAATTCCTGGCAATGTTGGTAACTCAGGGAAATTGTACTGAAACTGTAGCCAGCTAAGAGCGGTCACACTAGAAATTAAAGAATTAAATAGGTCAATGAAATTAGGGGAAAAAATATAATCACGTTCAAAAGATAATCACTTGCTGTCAGAAATAGATCTAATAAAGAGGTAACGAATGGGTTGCAAAAGCCTAAAGCCGACTTCTTACAAATTAAGGAACAGACCCTGCTTTATAGAAGAAATAGAGACCCAGTGAGGGAGGAAAAGACTCCCTGAAACCATCCAGCAGAACCAAATAAAAATAATAAATTAGCATCAACAAAACCCATTTAAGACAAAAGCAGGTGACAGAGAAGAATTAGAATGTATTTAATCCAAGATTACAGTAACTGTGACAACCTGCAGGAGGTGGCGATGTTGCCTCCAAGCCTGTGAGAATGTCACGTTCTGTGTCCCTGTACTAAATGTCTTCAGGCAACTGCAGTTTTACGTTCTGGTGGCTTTTGAGAGTTATGCCTTTTTTTCTTCTTCTTTTGCTGTTAATGCTTCTATTCTTTGATATTGTACCTTTCCCTTGTCATTTTCTGTTTCCAGACTATTGTGAATTTAGAAACTAGACAATTGATCTTAATTATGTGTAGATTAAGAACAAGCAAGCGCTGAGGGAGGGTCTGAGGATTTTTTTCCCAATGGCAATGGTCTAACATTCAGACTAGTCTGGACTGGGCGACTTAGTTTTGACTGCCGGGAACTTCTATTTTCTGCTTCTCAACTATATTGTTACTGAATAACGGAGTCACTGAAAGGTGCCATGTCACATGTTTACTTTTGAAAATTATCCTAACAAAAACCTAGGATTTATTATGAATTAATTATGGTAGGATGAAAAGGGTACTAAAACTCGGGAGTGGATCTAGCTCAAGGACACTTACCCCATTAACTCTCACCACATCTCCATCTGCCCAGCTGATCTATTTGCAACCAGAATGCAAGGAATCCTCCCCTTGAGTCACGTTCAGCTCTGGCACAGGGCTCTGCTGGGCTAGGGCGGTTCCGGCTCGCTGAGGCTGTGCACGCATACTTTGGTACTCACAAGGATAGCTGGCTTTTAAGTACAGGTGGATACCTTTTTTTTTCTTTTAAATGATAGCAGTGAATTGGTACTTTGGTACTTTTAAATGGAAGATTTATCTGGGAGACATTCTGGTATCTGCATTTCAGCTATTCTGGTTCAAAATGCAGCTTTGCAAGAGGACTGCCAGAAGTCACTCTTATGAAAATTCTCTCACTGTAGTTATGACTTTCAGGCCCCAGAGCCTTACAAGTATGGATCTGGTCTTGCAGTTGTATATATCCCATCAGCCCGATGATTACTGTCTTCTAGGAATGGATTGAATCCCATGGAGAACTAAAGATAATAAAAAGTCCTCCACTTGGACTTTTTCAGTTTCTATTCCGTCTCCAGTCCTGTGACCCAGTGCCCTTGATACATTAGAAAGACGCCCCGCGGCGCTCTTGCGTGCTTCTGTGGGTTGGACTGGGAGCCTGTCTGCCTCCGCCGGGTGCTTGCCCTTAGAGCAGGAGGTGACGCGCCGGAATGGCCGGGACTTTGATTTGCGTCATCTGATTTGGAATCTGCCCTTTTGGCAAGCTGCTTGGAGTGCCGATTGCTAATGACTCTTCGTTGCAAATACTGCCCCCTCTTCCTTTAAAGACTGACTGCTGCTGCTTCTCATAGAGTTCCCTCCTGATGAACCCCTTCAAGACGTACAGAAATAAAGTATGGCCCTTTTAGTCAGCTGTTTAAGGAGATTTGTTGAACATGATCCGTGTGAGGAACTCTGTGTCAGATCTGGGAAGCTACAGTCCTTTTAGGGGGCGCAGTTAAAAGAGTGTATGGTTCAGTTACAGGACCAACCCTCAGCAAAACTGCACGACCAGTTGATCATGACTTCACTCATCAGTTCTCTGGAGTCTCCATTAGGTCATGTCAGATGGACAGCGCCACAGGCTGTGAGTTAAATGTTTAAATCTTACAAGTTTACCAGTGAGGATTGGCCTGATGGAGGTTGGTTTTATGGCGATAAGACTAGAAGAGGTTCTGAAAGGCCAGGAGGGTGAGATGAACGGAGAAGGGAGAGCAGCAGCCGGAGACAAAGCAGGAAGGCGGGGATGAGAACGGTGCATCCTGGGGCCAGCCGAGGCATCAGCACACCATGGGCGCAGTCAGAACTAGGCCATGTGTTTGAGGCTTGATGATGAAAATTGACAGCCATTGACAATTTTGAGCAGTGATGTGTTACAGTGAAACTGAAGGAAGATTCAGTTGTTATGTAAAATGAGTGAACTTAAGCCAGCAAAGGGGCTGCTGTCATAATGTAGCCATAGGTTTCCAGGGACCTAGACTAGGATGGAGCTAAGGAGAATGGAGAAAAAATGGAATCATACACAGCATATTTTATTTTTATAACTTAAGAGGCCATATTCTTCAAGTTTAGTAGTAGTTGAGATGTGGGAAGACCCTCCAGATGGAAGCCCCCTCCCCAGATGGAAGGCAGGTTAAATGAGTGAGAGACGGAGGGGCATTCAGAAAGAGCAGAAAAGATGAAGGAGAATCTGCAACATGACATGAGGACGTGTTGGTAATTCCATAAAATAAATGAAATTTTTGCACAGCTTCCTCAGAATTTGACTTGAAGTAGAAAGAAGATAAGAGAAGCCTTGAATTCTTCTGTAGCTTTGAGGAGAGTGTTCTGCTTCCGTGGAGAACTTTTTCCTCCTTTATTATCAATGACACACCACCATTCTCTTGATATCCAAACCTGAGTGCAAACTGGAAGTCTGCTTTTTCTCTTTACTCCTTTCCTTAATCTCTGTATCTAGTCACCCAAAACTAAATTGTCTCCCTTTTAAAAGTCTACCTTATCCTCACCCTGCCCTCAGCATTCCTAATGCCTCTATCCTTAGCGTACACACTCTCGTATTTCTTTTGCTGGATATTGATAACTGACCATCTCACAAGGACGTCGGTGGAAGGGGCTAGTGCCTGTCAGAATTCGACATGTCAAAGGATAGTAGAAAGTAGAGAGACATGAAATTTTCATTTATGAGTAAGAAATTTTTTTTGCTGTAACTGTCAAATTAAAATACTGGTCCAACTGTTGCAGCCTGAAAGGAGGTCATTCACTAGAGACTGTTAGAGCTGCCTCTGTTCAAGATCTGATCCAAGTAGGGAATCTACATTTTATAAAGAATGAGGAGGGGGTGTCCCAACTTGAACCAGAGGATGGTGAGAGGGAAAAGTTAAAGCCACACCTTGGATGGCATAGAAGGGGTGCTGCCTGAGCCTTTTCTCTCTCAAGGGGGTCATCCCTTTTGGGAGTGAGAGCCAACTGGGCTTCTGAAAACTGGGTCTGGAAAACTTGTGGAAGGGAGGATCCCAGAGTCTTTTCCATTATTAGAATAAAGCGCAGAAGACGGAGAGATCCTGGTCGTTCGGAAAACCAGGACAAGAAATCAGTTTTGTTCCTCTATGCATTTTCTTAGTCCATTTCCCTGAAACATAATAAAGAATCTAAAAACGTCTTAAATGTCATAGGATTTATCAGTTGTATTATGTCCTTGCAACACAATTTACCTAAAGCCATGTGGCAACCAGAATTGTTTTGAGGTGATCAAATATGCAACTTAATGTTATCAAAATAATTAAATCCTGACACCTTAAGGCCAGGTTATGCTATTAAGTGCAACATTCTTCATGTGATTCATGTCCTTATATGTATGGTTTAACACAGCCAGTCTGAATATTATGTTATTTTTGGCTGGTAAGAATATCCATTATATTTTTCAGCTTCTCCTGTTGGCAACGGTTACATCAAGCCTCCAGTCCCACCTGTCTCTGGCACACAGAAGGAGAAAGGGCCACCCGCCATGTTACCCATCAGTGTGGACCCAGACAGCAAACCAGGAGAATATGTCCTCAAGAGTTTGTTTGTCAACTTCACCACTCAGGCTGAGCGCAAGATTCGCATCATCATGGCAGAGCCTCTGGTGAGTGTGTGCAGGAAACTGATGGCTTTTTAAATTCATCTTGACACTGAATATAGATTTTACAGCTCTAAGAAAGGGTGGATGGCTTTTCCCCTAATTTCCAAAGGGTTTTTGACACCGTGGGCAGTTTTTAAAGATAATAGTTAAGTTTCCTCATTATAGAAAAGAAATTTGAGGCTCAAGGATAAAACAACCCTCAGCAAATACCATTTAGCAGTATGCTTCACTGCTGCATTGAGGACTAGTAGGCATTTAACAATAAGAAGTATTAATCGTGGAAAAATCGTGTTCAGTCTGTGCTGTGACTGCTTTAATCGAAATCCTTTGTCCAATTTTTTTTCGGTTTAAAACAATATATATTTATTATCTCACAGTTTCTATAGGTTGGGAGTTCAGGATACAGCTTATTTGGGTCTTCTGCAGTCAAGGTATCAGCTAGGGCTGTGGTCTCATCTGAGACTCAAGTGGGGAAAAGATTTGCTTCCAAGTTCTTGTGATTGTTAGCAGAATCCAGTTCCTTGCAGGCTGTGATGAGGGACCATCTCAAGATTCTGCTTGTCAGCTAAAGGCTGACCTCAGTCTCTTGTCACGTGACTCCCCACTTAGCAGCTTGGAGCGTGGCAGCTTACTTCTTCAAAACCAGCAAGGAATAAAAGTCTTCGCAAGATGGACATTACAGTCTTATGTGGTGTAATTGTGTGCACCTCATTGTCTACACACCTTGTTTTTAAAGTAAATGAGAAAAAAATCATCATTCAAGTGGATGCCTGAACTCCCAGTTTGAGAACGAATGGTCTTAGTGACACGTTATCTGAGGAAGTTTTTTGATGAGTTGCTCAGAAATACCACTCTGTTACCTGTTATCTGAAAATCGGAAGATGGGAAATTCTTGACTCACCTTACCTTTAGGTCCCTTATTAGGTGGATAGTGCCCTTCACAGTCAGTAAGTCAGTACCTCTCTTTGCAAATGGTTCTGCTGCAGAATAAGACTTGTGCTTCAGCCTTGTGTTAATTACCTGCACGAGGGCTCTAAGGACAAAGTAGAGTGCTGAGACTCAAAAGGACAGTCAGGAAGGAAGGAAGTCCAATTGGAAGATTCAGATTACCTTTTTTCTGACCTTGGCAGGCCACACACAGTAAGAGAAAGGGAAGGGACTCAGGATGGTGCAGTACCTCCTGTGAGGGCACTGGGGCAGAAGAGGTCTGAGGTTGGCTTTAAGGCATCATCGCTTAAAATAATTAAATGTAATAGTGAGCCCACAGCACAGAGTGTCTCAAAAAAAGGTGTAACTGATGATCTTCGACATCATGTATTAAAAATGACCTTTCTAAGAATCGCATTTGAAGGTTTGGGAATCAAAATTCAGGAATATTTATTACCTGTGTGGTTACCTGAAAGTTACAAACTTTGAATTTTAAAGTTTTCATTAGATCAGTGGAGGTTAGCTTTCTAACTTCTTATAAAGGAAAATGTTTTCTTGGTTTTACAGTTAAATTGTTTAAATGGAACCTTAGTACTGTCCCTGCTTCCCGTTCACCCATGTTTTGTGTTCCTACTACTCTTACTGGTAATAAATAGCTAATACTTCTCAAGTACTTATGATGTGCTGGGCACTGTGCTTAGCTTATCTCCTTTAATCTTCACAGTGACCTTAGGTTGGTAGCATTTCTATCCCTGTTGACAATGGGAAAAGCTGGCACAGAAAGGGGAGAATAATCACCCAAGGTCACACAGTGTGGGTGTGGATTCAAGCAGCGTGGCTTCAGAGCCCACCTCTGAACCGTTCTGCACTCTGTTGCCAGTCTTTGCATGGTCATCTTCATGTAAAGATACCTTCTTTAACTTCTTAAAACAAGCCAACACAGGGCTCTCCTATAACTTGAGTCCAAAAATCATGTACTCAAATTCCTATTGCCCCAAACAGTGCTGATCTCTGGACCCCTCTGAGCTCCTTGAGAGCTGCTGAGGCAGCCCTGCCCCTCCCCCTGGTGGAGGGTGGGTAGCCACCTGGGCTCCAGAGGTCATAGGGGAGTTGGAGGAGGAGAGAGTGGGAAGGTAGTAAGAGTCATGTCACTCCTGAACAGTGGAAAAGTGACAAAATGGCTCTGAAAGTGTGCACCAGGGTGGATTTTCCTGAGAAACTGGGAAGTTGTCCGATAATTGAAAGAGCTGCTTAGAAGGCTCAATCCTGAGCCATCTGTATCTCCAAAATAATACTTTAGATACTGTTATTTAAGAATTTATGAAGTAAAATTGTTTGGGTTTAATTTTTTCATCTTTACTCAGCTTGGAATGTGTTTGTGTGACATTTTTCTTCTTGGAGTAAACATTATGTCTGAAAAGCTAGCATGTACCGCAGCATTCTTTTAATTAGAGGTGGACATTTTTGTTCCTTTCAATGAGACAAATGTCCCCAAACAAGGAAAATGGGAAAGAATAAGTCTAAGTTCTCTTTATCAGCAAATCTTCATTGTGTGTCCAGGATGAGAAAGTTTACTAGATGCGGAGGGCCAAATAGATGGACGCTATGTTTTTAGCTGAAGAAATGTGTTCAATCAATTTTTAATATTGTTGCTTTTTATAAAAAGAGACTATTTATTCCCTTCGTATTTTTTGGCAGAGATGTCAGCTTCCTGCCATCCCCATTTCTTGTCTGCTGAAAAGTGCTTAGTAATTTTGCCCTTATATTTACTTATTTATGGGACAATAAATGTGAGTACATTCTGTGGCTTGTTACCTGATTCTAATACATATGTGCCTTTGGCATTTTGTTCTATGGCCATAACAAGAGGTGTTTTTTTGATTTATGCATAGTACATTTAAAGTGAATTACAAATAAATGCCCTTACTATTTTCCTTGCTGAAGTTGGCTTTATAAATAAGACATTGAATCCTTTAAAAGCCTGAATTTATGTAGGCTTGTAGCATAGCACAAAATTGTATTCTGTTATCTCTGATATAATTAAAACTTGTGTGGTCATGGCAAGGGGAATTTTTTTAAAACTTGCAAGAATAGATTTATTATTTATGGGGCTACTCAGGAATCTGTATTTTTCTGTTTTATTTTTGAAAGATTGAATACTTCAGAATTCCACATCAGTTAGGCTGTGTGGGATCAGTTATATACAATATTAAGGTTGTATTTATGAATTACCAATATCCAAAAAGCTAACTTAAATGGGGGGGGGAAGGACAGGAAATAAAAATGTTCTACCAAAATTAGATGTTTCTCTTATTAAACATCTTTCACTGCTTCAGCAGTACTGTTCTTTGTATTCAAAAGATGCCCAGGTCATATTTATTAATATTTATGGATATGTCAATAATTTTATTCTATTTTGGTTGCTTCCTGGGGTTATTTGACAGCGTTTTCTCTTGGCCAGTCTTCCCACTATTTCACCTTTCCCAAGCAAAGAGTGTTAAACAAGATAAGTTGAGTCATCTGTATCTTTTTTATATTTTTATTTCAAAACAAAAAAAAACTACAGAAAATAATGTAGTGGATGCTTTCCCTCTTGCCTCCTATTTCTTTCTTCTGGTTTAAATTTTCTTTTCCCCAAAGTATATGTTTTTGTAGTTCTTTAAGTAACAGTCAGTGGCTGGTGAATCACTGTCTTGTTTAAGATGCCTGTATTTTCCCTCTAATTATCAGTGATAGTTCAGCTGGGAATAAAATTCTAGTTTGACATTTATTCCCCCTAGAATTTTGACAGCATATTTCACTATGTTGTCTCCAGCATTGCTATTGAAGAGTCTGTGGTTGATTTGTTATTTGTCTATGGATTACTTACTTTCTTCTTGGTTTGTGTGTATGGTTTTTTGCTTTGTCTATAGTGTTCTGCAGTTTCACTATGTTGTGTGTTTAATGTGGATTTATTTTTATTTTCTTGTTTGAGACCCTACTGCTTCTGGAGTTGAGGGTTTATGTCTTTCATCAGTTTGGGAGAATTCTAAGCCAAATTATTTGAGTATTGCCATCTCTCCGCTTTTCTTCTTCCCTTCTTCTGGCATTCCTATCAGATGTACAGTAGGCCTTCTCATGCAGTATTGCGTATCTTTTTACCCTTCTTTTATTATTTCTACTTTGTCTGTCACTACTGCACTCTGAGTAGTCTTCTCAGTTCTATCTTCAGTTCATTAATACTCTCTTGGGCTATGTCTCCTCTGCTGTTTAACACGCCCAGTGAGAATTACAGTTTTGGTGGCTTAATTTTTTATTTTTAGAAGTACTATTTTAAAATCTGTTTAGGTGGGGGTTTTGTTAAGATGTATTTTGTTCCTCTCTTAGGTTTACAACTTCTATTTTATGTCTTTGATCACGTTAAACATACAGTTTTTGCATGTCCTCTTGTAGGTTAGCCCCAGAGTCTTCACTGTCTGGGGCCAAATGTTACATTAATTTCTTGGTTTAGGAATTTCTGCAGCTAGAAGGCTGATGTGAATGTAAACTCCAAACTCACAGAAGACTTAAGACTGTGGTTTCAAATTCCTGGGGAGAATTTTGCTGTTGTTTTTGTTTTTACGTAGAACCCAGGTAGGGACCATTGGAATATCTTTTCACCTTCCTGTGCATGTGCATAGATTTGTCCCTAGTCCATTGTTTCATTGTTTAGGTCCAGACTTTATGTAGGTGTCTTATTTCCAGTGTTCCACCTGTCAGTGCTCACAGCTTTGTTTCCTGTCCCCCAGTGGACAACAGAAAAGCCTCCAGAATGATGAGACCAGTAGTTCTCCCCCTACGCAGCGACTACGTGACCTCCTATATTCCTGCTTTTCATTTCCACTTTCCTTCCTTATGAACTCGTTTCTACCTTTTTAAAAATTCGTATACTCCACTCAATATTTCTAAGAGTTTAAAATAAAGCATGTGAAATTTTGAGTTATCTTAGTCCATTATCCTGCCCAAGCCCTCTGCAGAAGTCTTGGTTTGCTTTTCATGCAGATAAGGGCAGGGTGGGTCTTGGCACAGATGTTTGTGTGCAAGCAGAAGTTCCCATG